TTCTTTATATTAAATAATTAGGGGTAAACAGTTGAGTAAATATCATGAAAGAAAACAGGTATTAGTTACTCAGAATATGCTCACAGAGTCAAGAAACTTTCAAATACCCTGAGAAAGTAACTCTGGATGCAAAGCCAGAGAACTGGAACCAGGACTTCTAAGATTCTATATTCCCATCAGGGAAGTTTAATGTTAGAAACAAAACCATGTTTATTCAGCTCCTACCGATTAACAGTGAGGATGATGCAGAGATTCTCCATGGAGATAGAACAAGGATGCAGATTCCACCCTAAGTATATGCAGAGCTGCCCTGCTAAACAGTTTATGATCTAGTCTGTGAAAATTAAATGTTGAGGATTAAATGAGATAATATCAAGTGACTGATCTAGTGGCAAGGCACTCTGTAAATTCTCACTAAATGGCTTGCTATTAATATTGCCCTGACAACAACCAGGTAGACAGCAGATCCTCCTATTAGTATAACCATTTTACAGCTGAAGAAATTAAAATATGTTTTTAGATTTTTACTGCACAGCTGGAGTCAGATTGATAAGTGAAATAACCCCTCCAAGAGTCTCCCCAGGATAATTTCGTAACTTCAGATTTTCAGACTGATATCTTCTCCAACTATGTGCAGATTCTTCTGAAAGTTGACCAGCTAAAGCCACCTGCATGCCACCATCTGAAATGATAAGCCAGGTTCTCTGACTGTGGAGTACCTGAAATAATCTACCCACTTATATATTTAGTTTCCTGCTGGTAGCGTGGAAGTAAATACAACTAAAATTTAAAGTCAGCACCATTTACCTAATATACAAAGGTCACCTGTTGGGCAATGTGTGTATTGGCTTCTGCTGTACTAAAGGTAGAATCTCTTAATTTTCTTGTTTTTTGTTTCTTTTTATCCATACTATGTCATTGGTCTGAGATTTGAAATATTAAATGTATCCAGAAAAGAGATGAAAAGGAGAAGAGATATATAGCTGTGAGGGACACCAGAAACTGAGTCCCTGAAGATCCATAGTGTTGAGTCTGTAGTTTTGCTCATAACCAACTTCTGCTGTCATCACAGATTCTCATAAATTCACCAGGAGAAAAGGCTGGGAAGGGCTGGGAAGAGAAACTTACAGGAGCTCTTGCATGTTATCATACGGTTACTCGTGGCCAAATCAGTGCTTTAGACCAAGTCTGAGGAGCAATCCACCCCTCCTTTCCTAGGGGCTTTGGTCAATGTTTCTTTACTCTCTAGTGTACACTTCAGATCTCATTCTGAATTGTATGCCAAACAGACTGAAGACTAAACCAGAGTTAATAAGTTGCTTTACCCATGGTAGATAAGCCAAGACTTCCCTTGAATTTTCTTAACATTTTTTTCTCTAGTGTTGAAAGTAATTTATGTTTTCATTAGTAAGGACAAATGAAAGAGAGAGAAAGAAATCATTGTTCTTTAATTAAATGAATATGGAAGACTGGGGTTATATTTCAAGCAGTGTTTTAAACCTGTCCAGCATAGGATGTGACAAATGTTGATTTTTCTAACAGGCATTTGAGTAATTCCAGCTGCCATTTGGGGTAGGAATGTGATTGGACAAAACTTGAATCTTGTAGAGTAAAATGTTTTCACAGCATTCTATTTTCATGTTTAAAAAAATATTGTAATGCAAACTGTCCATGATACAAAAAAAATTCTTACTTTATTTTGGAATGTGGATCATAAATAGTTGCATCATGTTTTATGTTGATGGTGTTCTATTGAGGAGAGTTTTAAAATTGCTGGGGAAGAGATAATGTCACCCACTTCCTGTTTTGGGTATACAGTGAGCTGTACATGAATAATTATCATTGATCAAATCCATAGGTAAAGGAAATGAAAGTGGCAAGAATAAAATAAAATACTCAAATATACTTCTGTCCCCATTGCCAGAATCACATTAGTCACCAGTCTTCTATTAATATTTGCTTTTGAGAAGAGCTGGTACATTGCCTCCCACATGCACCCCACACTCCTATCACATCAAAGTATTAGCAGTAATATTAATCACAGTGGCTATCATTTATAGGATACCTTCAATAAAATAGGAACTTTAAATCATTCTCTACTCTTCGCATTAACCCGCTGGCATACCGTGTTTCCCGGAAAATAAGACCTGCCCATAAAATAAGCTCTAGCAGGATTTCTAAGCATTTGTGCAATATAAGCCCTACCCCGAAAATAAGACCTAGTGATGGGTGTGGCTACGCAGCGGATCTGCACAACCTATGCATTTTGTCGTGAAGCGGTAAAGAAGACAAGCAGCCCTTCTCATCTGCCCCATAGTGACAGCTACTATCCCAGAGGTGACCGGAAAGGTGCGGGCAGCCCCACCAACAAGGTCGGCTCCCCCTGTCAGGTCCCAGACATCCTATGCGTGCTGCAAGCTGAGGCTTTGAGGGGAAAATAACACATCCCCTGAAAATAACCCTTAGTGTGTCTTCTTGAGGAAAAATAAATATAAGATCCTGTCTTATTTTCGGGGAAACATGGTAAATATATTTATATAAATATATATATTTGCTCAGTAACCACATAAAATTAACCAAACCACCCTATAACGTCATACAGCTGGCAGAGCAGTGCTGTGCAATGTGATGTTTAAGCACAAGGACTTAGTGTCACACAGTCATATGTTCGAGGTCCACCTCTTCCAACCTTTACAGAAAGTTGCTTTACCTCTCTAAGTTTTCATTCCCTGACTACAAAAAGAGTATTGTAATTTTATCTTTCCAATTGAATTGTTGTGAAAACTGAATGAGAGACTCAATGGAAATAGCTTAGCAAAGTACTTGAGACATATTGCATGTATAGACACACACACACACACACACATGGGCGCACACACACATTGAATAACACTAAAGCCTGTGTTTCCAGCCATTGTGATTCTCAAAAACTTGTAATTTCCCTAAGGTACCATACTTTGTCTTCACTTCTATGCTTTTGCTAATTTGTCTGCCTTACACCATCCAACTAAGATTTTTTTCTCAGACCACAATATGAGCAAAGATAATTATGTTCTCATTCATCCTTCAAGACTAAGAATAGCTTTGTCAAAAATCATCCATGCCTTCCAAAACTAAGCTATGTCCCCATAGGATACAAGACATTATTCCTTCCATATTATTTATTATGTATTCTAACACACAGTGTGTGCCTATATGTCTGCATCCACCAATAAACTGTGAGGTCCTCAAGGACAAGAACTATGTCCTTTTACTTATTATCACTCAACTCCCTACACATGGCCTGAGCCATGGAGTACAGTCAACGATATTGGAAGGACCGATACATCAAGGGAGGGATGTGTGGAGGCAATAGCTGAGCTACAATGCCACCATCCATGTGGAGATTCCAATCTGAGTGAGCAGTTACTGAACAGAAAGGAGAATCAGGGATTTAAGAGATGTGTTACCACAGCTGAATTTATCTGGGTTCCCTCCCTTGTGGCAAAGGACAAACTTAAAGGCCAATTGCTGTAGAAGGCAATGTGCAAGTGTAAAGAATTCAGAATCTCTCCTTTCCCTCTCTGGCTTGAGAGCCAGGGAAGCTGACAGTGTAACTAAGTCTGAGGCTGAAGGCCCGAGAACCTGGGGTCACCGGTACAAGTCCCAGAGTCCAAAGGCCAGGGAACCTAAAGTTTTGATGTTTAGGGGCAGGAGAAGAAAGATATCTCATCTTCAAAAGACAGGGAGAAAATTCGCCTTTCTTCTGCCTTTTTGTTCTATCTGGACCCTCCACCAATTGGATGGTGCCTACCCTGGGTGAGAAAGGGTCTTCCCCTCTCAACCCACTGACTCAAATGCCAATCTCTTCTGGAAACACCGTCACAGATATAAAGCTTTACCAGCTCTCTGGGTATCCCTTAGCTCCGTCAAGCTGACATCTGAAATTTATCACTACATGAACAGTATTCAAAAATGAAACAAACAAAATTTAAGCATTTTATTCTAAACCAGTGTTTTTCAACTTTGGCTGCATATTAGAAAGACTTGGGAGGCTTTTAAAAAAATCTAATACCAGATCAACTATCATCTCTCCCTTCTACGCCTTCAATTAATCAGGATTTGGGGGAGCTTCTTCCAAGGAATTCTAGTGTAAAGCCCCTGTGGGAACCACTGTTCTACCAGTCTACCAACATCAGTCAAAATCTGGTGCAAGTCCTGATGCACTCCTCAAATTGTTACCAGTCCCTCACAAGATAAGTACTAAAACTGAGAGCATGTCTTAATCTATTTGAGTTGCTATAACAAAATGCCATAGACTAGATGACTTATATACCACTTCTCACAGCTCTGGAGGCTGGGAAGTCCAATATTAAGGCACCAGTAGATTCAGTATGTGGTAAGGGTCCACTTCCTGGTTTGTAGATGGTGTCATCTTGGTCTTGCTGTGTCCTCACATGGTTGGGGGGGGCAGGGCAGGCAGGGGGGGAGGGAACAAGGCAGCTTTCTGGGGCCTCTTTTATTAGGACACTAATCCCATTTATGAGGGCTCCACCCTCACAATTTAATCACCTTCAAAGGCCCCAAATACCTCCTAATACCATCCTATTCATGATTAGGTTTCAACATGAATTTTGGGGGCAGACACAAAGAAAAATTGGGGGCAGACCAAAATAAAGTGTTTAGAAACTTTTATAGCAATGTGACAAATTGTTTATGTCTATTGAATCTAATAATTAAAACAGACTAGTGGGAAAAAAAAGTAGTTGACTTACAAAGAAATATGTTGACACTTCCTCAAGGAAGGCTTGTGAATAACCAAACATACACCTCTGATCTTAAAGATATGCCGGGCTGCTTCTTTAAGCTGTTGTGTCTTAAAGTGGAAACATCAGGGTCAGTGAATAATCATTCTGACAGATCACTGGGCGCACCTGGGTCCAACAGGGTTAATGAGCAGGAGTGGGGTAGGTGGGGTTACGAACCTAACCGAGAACACATGCCCCGCAAGTTAGATAGCTTTCTTTCTCTTTAATTGCCCTTAAAACACACACGCTCTCACATAACACGGAAGGTGAGAGCTGAATGAAGTTTTCTGGGTAATGGCTTGAAATGTTTTCCTTATGAGAAGTGGTGTTGAGTTACAGCGTGTGCAGACCAGACCGAGAACTGGGAGGAGAGAAACAGCAGCCCCGACCCGGCCCCCACCTTTTCTGGGGCTTGTAGGAAGGTGGACATGGGCTCCCAGAGACAAGACAAGTGATATGTTGAGCTGTCCGGTGGCTGGAATCGACTGCTCCTGGAGCGACCCGCAGCCAGTGTTTACAGGGCTTCTCCAGGGCCAGCCAAGCAGGCACGGATGCTCTGCTGTGAGATGCCACGCAGGCAGAGACTGACAAGCGCTAGGAGCTGAGCTCCCCCCTTGGGCTGCTGTTTCCTGCTGTGTTCAGGGGAGGGGGCGCTTTCTGGCAACTCGGCTGCTGCTGGCGCTGCTACTTCAGCTCCCTCTCCACCCAAGGTAAGCAGGCTCCAAGGGAGGGCAGGCTGCAAGGGAAGCCTTTGTACCATGAACAGGATCCGAAAGTTTTTCCGAGGAAGTGGGCGAGTCTTGGCATTTATATTTGTGGCTTCTGTCATCTGGCTGCTCTTTGACATGGCAGCTCTCCGCCTCTCATTCAGTGAGATCAACACCCGGGTCCTCAAGGAAGACATCGTGAGGAGGGAGCAGGTAGGATTCAGAGTTCAGCCAGACCAAGCGCAGGTTTTTTACAGCAGCGTAAAAGAGATGAAGCCTCCCCTGAGGGGACAGGGGAAGGGGGCATGGGGCAAAGAGAACTTTAGAAAGACTGAGGAGAGTGTGCGCAAGGTTCAGGATGACTTGGACCAAACCCAGAGGGAAAGAAAAATGCAGAACGCTCCGGGAAGGGGCAAGGTTGTGCCTTTGTGGCATCCTGCACGTCTGCAGACTCACCCAGTGACTCTTACCAAGCAGAAGACAGAAGGGAGAGGCATCAGACCTGAAGCTTCCTCTCACCAGGTGACACCAAAGCAAGCAACAGTTCAGGGGGCTCAGGAAACTCCATTCATACCAGCAAGAGGAACTCCCTTGGTCAAAAAATTGGCACACATAGGACCTGTCAGTATAAAACAAGAGGCCCTGAAGAGTCATAAGCTCAGCAGTGACACGTCAAAACAAGCAGCCGTAAAGGACCTAGACGTGACCATTGGTCTTAGTGCTAACAGATCAAAGCAGCACTCACAAGCAGGAGCAAACGAGAGAGCATACCCTGCCAGCCCACCAGTGCCAAAATCTGGGGAAGACATAGCCTTAAATAAAACTGAGACTTGGAGCAAAGAATTAAATGCAAATAAACACAAAGCCAATAAGGGTCATCCTTTTGCCAAGTTCATTGTCAATTCAAATAGCTTAAAGAAGCAATCTATTAATGAGACACAGTTGGTAGGCTTGCCAATGGAGGATGGAGCTGAAGAGGCTCATGGGAAGAAACTCAGTTTCTCTGAAAGCCATGTCGTGATTATAACCAAGGAGGAGGAGCTAAAGACAGACCCCAAAGAGGACTCCAATTCTAAAACCAAAACTATGTTCCCCAAAGTATTGGGTGAAAGCCAAGGTAAACACATTTCCAGGAATAGAAGCCAGTCATCTTTCTCTTCACTTGCTCTACAGAGAGTAACAGTGTCTCAAACCAACCAATCTTTAGCTGGGGAGCTCAAGCTAGCAAGAACTAACTTAACTGCCAGGGACCAGCCTGCAGAACACAACCATAGTCATATAAAAGCCCTTTTATCTGAAGACCAAGGCATGCACCGTGTGTTAAAAATGGATGTGACACTTTCTCCAAGGGACCCCAAAGCTCCAGGGCAGTTTGGACGTCCTGTAGTTGTGCCCCATGGAAAGGAGAAGGAGGCAGAAAGAAGATGGAAAGAGGGAAACTTCAATGTCTACCTTAGTGACTTGATCCCGGTGGACAGAGCCATTGAAGACACGAGACCTATTGGGTAAGATCCATTTCTCTTCTCTTTTCCTCAACCACAAGTATTTTGGCTCAGATGTAGAGAAGATTTATTTCTAGATAATTTGTGTGGTTTTGGGCCACCTAGAAAATTAAAGCAACATTAATCACTAGATGCCATTCAAATATTCTACCATCCACACAGAGAAAAATTCTGATATCAGCAACACACTATGCTTCTTCCTGTACTTATCTCTTTGAGACTTTGGTTCTCAACCCTATTGGCTCATGTTCCATTTCCTTCCCCCTGTTGAAAACCAGTTAGAATGATTAGATGAGTACAATTTATAATAAAGTATATATGAATGGTAGGACTTAAAGTTTAATTCCTTTATAACAGTAATGATGATATAAATTCCCAATTTTGGAACTTTTCATTATTAGCAAGTTTGTCAGGAATATGTTTGGGAAAGAAGCACAGAAAAAGGATCTTCTAGGCCTCTCTGGAATCATTTCTTAACCAGCAGAATTCTGCCTAATATGAGTAATGATGACCATAATAGCAAGGGAAGATGTGGCTTTGCTTCCTAAAATTTAATGTTTTTTGTAGGTGGAGATGGTAGACATTTCAGGAGTTCAGTTACACAGGAATAATGTGGGAAAAAGTCAATCAGTCACTAACTAGCAAACACCAGCAGGAGGTAAAAGAGCATAATAATAATAATAATAATAATAATCACATATATATGTAGAGTTGCACCATTTACAGAGGGCTAGCATGTGCAGAGATGAACTTCATAAGAACGCTAGAAAGTAGGTGACAGGCCTTATGGTTCAAATTAACAAACAGATGAGGACACTCAGAATTTATGTCACTTTCCCAAGGTACTGTAGCTCTAAATCTGCCCACTGTGCCTTCATGAACCGGTTCTTTGAAGAATTAAATTCCTATAACTACATCACCAGAAAGAGCATCAGATCACAGATATTTGATCTGATTCCAATACAGCTGGGTTCCTGGCTCCTTTTGGTCCACTCATAAGTAGGAGTTCTTTGTAGTCATATGTTCACTATCCATTAATTGATAATGCAGCTCAAGTCTGCTTCGATATTCGACTCCCAGAGTTGAACAATGTGTGCCTAGAAGTTGGAATTAAGGAATATCAAGATTGAGACTTAATACATGTGTTATGTAAACAATTGCTTTGTTTGGTTTCTGAAGAAATCTCTTCCTGGTGATGTAGGTGCTAAGTGTTACTAGGAGGAAGGCAGATATAGATAAACCTTTTATTCATAATTGTAAAAGGAGACTTTTCATTGTGAAGTTGGCTACTAGGAGGCCGCTTTCAGTCTCTTAGCCCTTGGCAAAGGGCGATCAGCCATGCATTAACTCCCTGCTTAGACCAAGCACTGTGTCACTCATGTTCCTCATCCTGGTGATACATCCTTGAGAATGCAAAAATACTCAAAGATGAGGAAACTGAGGCCCTGGGAAGTTAAATTGTCTGTGATCATAGAGCTAATGATTGTAGAAGAAACGATTGAAATTCATGTTCAAAATTATGTCGTGCTATCTCCCATCTCTTGCCAATTACCCCCCAAAAAGGATCCTAAAAGTTATGTTAGACCAGCTCCAATTTGAAATCCTGTGTATCGTAGAATCACATATGCCAGCTTTGAACACGAAACGCAGGGGAATGCGGTAGCCATTAAAGCAGCTTCATTTTAACATGCCCTTGGCGACCCAGCAGACTGCTAGGCATCTGGGGAGGAATCAGACCCTGCACAGAAGCACAAGCTCTAGCTCCAACCAGAGAAAGGGCAAGTGTGTGGGGGCCAAATGGGAGTCATGACCATGTTATCATCTGTGTGATTTATTGAAGGTTCAATGGCTCCCAGCACTTGTTTCTATAATTTGGTCTGTGGAAGTTAAGTGCTGCAGTCCAGGAAAGTTACACTCAGGCTCTGTCTTCTGAAGGAGGCTGTCCCAACTGTAGGAGAAACTGACACGTGTGCTTGAGAGGATGAGTCAGAAAGGCTGTGGCCAAGCCCCGCTCCCTCTTGTCACACAACCCACCTTGGCTAAATAAAGGTGCGCTCTTAGCAAGCTGCCTGGCAGAGGCCCTGCTCTGCCAACGGGGTGAAAGAGGCAGCCTAGCCCCTGGGGAGCCCGGGGAGGCCCCCCCAAGTGTTTACAGCCCTTTGTTGTCACTGTCCCTTGAAAGAGGACAAATCACTTTTTTTTCTTTTACCCAAACACTCTGACTATAAATAGGTGCAAATTATGTATTCATATGGATAAAGGTCAGAAAAAAATACAAATGAAAAACAATTGATTCAGAAGGTTGGCAAGGTTTGAAGTGAAGTTGGGTTTTTTTTTTTTATTTTGATTTTATTTATTTTCAGCCTTGCTCAAAAAGTATTTGAGATGGCTCACAAGAATACGCAAAAAGATTGCTTAAGATAATGAATTTTAAAAGTCAGCATAAGGGGAAAATTGTTATAAAATATAATGAGAAAATGTGTGTGTGAAAAAGAGAGAGCGCACATGTTATAAGAATGCAGGAGAATTGGCCTTAAAATTGGCTAGGGTAGCAGCCCACCCTGCAACCTTTAAATTTCGAGTTTTAGAGAGTCTCCCCCTACTGCCCTTGACATTCCCCCAATATTCATCATTGTAGATGAATTCACACAGTAACTGGCCTATCTTAACTGCTCATTGAATATAGATTGAACAAAAAAAGGATAAAAAACATAAATTTGCTATATTCATTTAAACTCAATTCCCTCCAGTAAAGATAACTAGTTAGAAGTTAATTATCTTCTTAAGGATGGGTTAACTGGTATGCTGGGGGGGGGTAGCATTAAGAAGCAGAAAGGACAGGCAGGATTCCAGGACAACTTCCCTATTCTGGTTCTAAATCCAGATGCCCTTTTCCAAACTTGCACATTCCTCCCTTCCCTCCTGAGTGCCCAGGAACCATTTCTACGATGTCAACGTGCAGTCACACAGCCTTTTGTCCTTTCTGTCACCAGCATTACACTGTCCTTTGCAGTGCTGTCTGTGTTTCTTCCCCTTGAGGTATGGCAGTAGCCCACCCCCCCTGCCCCCCATGACGTTTTCTCCAAGCTGGGCCCTCAACATAAGGGTAGATAAGCTCACCCTTTTCTACACATTATGGTCATTCCCATCCATTGATGTTTTTATTAGCTGGTCCCTTCCCACCGTCTCCTTCCATTGTCATCTTGCATGGCCTTCACCATTTTCTCCTGTATATTCCAATCCAATTTCTCCAAATCCAATTCTAGCCTACCTCCACCTGGGCCATGACGTGGCTGTGACTTCTAAATTCCAATGACCCTTAATGTGTGCAGCATTTCTTGTTACTGAAACACTCTTTATTGCATCTTCTTTGCTAACTGGAGCTGTGTCTGTTTTGCCTTCTTAGTGAAATTGTAAGCTTCTAAAGGAAGCTCTGTCTTTAGCTTTATTTTGCACTCAGAAGTGCTCACAGTGCTATGCACTCAAAAGGTACAGGTTTGCCTAATATAGATTTAAAAGGTATGTTTCTCTGAAATAATTTTTGAAAGCTGATGCTACTTTAAAAAAATAAACTGAGAGGTAGCAATTCAAATGAAACTTGCAATAAGTCATTTTATAAATGAAAAATGAGTCTCCTAATGTTTCATTTTGAATATATTAGAATCTGGTTTAGGTGAATACATCCTGTTTAACACTATGATCTATTTATTAATCATGTTGATTCCTTAGTTTATATTTTTATAGTTTTGGTTTTGAATGTTAATGTTTTGACTTTCAAGGGAGGAATATTTCTTTGCTTACAAAAATGTTTTATGTAAGTGAAATAACTTCATTTATGCCTAGACTATTTGCCTATAAAATGTGTTTAAAGTAAAATGCTTTTTTGACAGTCATTTTAAAGTTCCATATTTAATTATTTTTAAAAAAGCTAATCTTTACAGATCTTGCTCTTAACTATAAAATTTGTTTCAATCAGCAATAATCTATACACATACACATGCATGTGTGCACAGGCATGCACACACACACACACACACACACACACACAGGCTTTGCTAAACTATGGTCCTATCTACTAAAAATGCAGGGCAATGCTACTTGGAGAAGTCTGTCTTTTGGCCTGCAGCTATAGTTAAGATGGAACTCCAAAAATGAACTTATTTTAAGAGTGCTCTTCCTGAATCTGAATTTAGAGAAAAAATGACTCAAAGGAATTTTTGCTGCCAGCATTTAGTTTTTAAAGTAGAATGTGAATTCTGGCATGCTACTCTACCACTGCTGTGTCGTCATAATGTTACTCGATTACTTAATTCAATGCTTTTCCTTTCCTACAGAACACTGGCAAGCCCCTCAACAAAGCAATTAAAATGGGTATTTATTCTTTTAACCCAGAGCCAGGACTGTCAACCAATAATTTGATTTCTTCCGGCACAGCTAAAGAGAGGTTTTTCTTGGCACATACAAAAAAACAAAAGATAGCACAGTGCATTTGCCACAATCAGTCTGAATTATCTGAGGGAAGAGGAAAACTTTTTCAAACCTTAATTTTGGCTCTAGTAGAGTCAAAAACCATAACTAATGTGTCACTGGAGGAGGAAGAAAAAGGGAAGGAGGAGGAGGAAAAACCAGAAGAGAGAAAATAAACTGATCAGGTATCCTACCAAATTTCAAGCTTTTAAAACTTTATCAGGCTAGAGGAAAAGAGAAATTTTTAAATGAAATTAAATTCACATTTTTTATTTTTACATGTGATAAATATTTCAATTGATGCAATGAGAGTGCCTTTGTGACTAATAGGACTAGAGAACATTATCTAAAATTAACCGGAGATGCTATGAGATCTCCCTGAGAAACTACCTACTCAGGGGCAAGAAAAAAAAAAAAGACTCACAAAAGGGATTTAAAAGAATTTGCTACCTAAAGGCTGAAAAAAAAAAGTAAAAATAAAAAAAAAAGGATTATTTCCTGCTTTCACCCAAAGGCAGTGACACCTTTTTTTTTTT